GTGCAGCTCTGCACTCATCCAAAATAGGCTAGTACATTATGGGCACACATTGGTCCCTCCTAAAGGTAGAGCACTTTGAGGATGGAAATTGCACCCATGAGGCATGTGTGAACTCATGTTAACTAATTTCAAGCTCAGTCAAACACTGGGAGCTTTCTTGGGTTTGTATTCTGCTTTGGAGAAAGGAGTCGAGAGGTGAGAGAAAAATTATAATAAAAAATATAAATATGTGAATTATACTATACAGAGAGCCCGAACCTGAGCCAGCCTTGGTTTTTTTGAGGGAGGAAGTGGTAGTGATGCAGCATATGATTTTTAAAGGCCAATTACTCAGTCAAATCAGGATCAATTTCCTCCAAAACACTTCAAAGTGCTTCTCCTCAATGAAGGCTACTTTCCTGCCAAAATGTCTGCGCCCAGCCATTTAAAGCCTCAAGAAGATTTTGTATAATGGGGAAATGTATGTTTTCACCCTCCCTGCATTCATAATGACTGAACAAGGTTTCCTCAAACTTCCCCACAACATTCAGGCATGGAAAATGTCAGCCCAAAAGGTAAATGTTTGGGAAAATTATGATTAACTAAAACCAGAGGGTACAAATGGAACCTGTTATGCAACCTTAATGACAGCAGCCACTTCTGCTATAAGTCTGACAGCACCCTCAAATTTCATTTTAAAATGACACTTACATTCATTCCTTTATAAAAACCAACAAAGGAAAAGAAAGAAAAATGGAATAAACTAATGAGATATCTAATCAGGGCATATGCAGCTCTTCACTGAAAAGGCACCTGCTGTAGGATTTCCTGTAGGAAGGTGGGTGTTGGAGCATTCCTGCATTCAAATGTAGCTCCCATCACCTCCCCAGTGAGAAACAGCACTAAAGCAGAGAAAGGGAGGCCTGATGTAGCTTTTCAAATTGATGCTGCTTGTGGAGAGGAACAAACAGTTCACCTCCAACCGAGGGGCTGGCTCTTGTCATTTATTCATCTCCAGCCCCCTGCCTGGATGGAAATAAAAATGTTTCAAAGAAGGCTGTGTGGGGGAGCTGGAGGACAGCTTGGAAGCACAGTGAGGTTAGTGCATTAATTTTTTATCTTTGAAGACTAGGTATCTAATTATGCTTAGAATACACAAATGCCGTTGACTGATCTCTCAACTAGAGATTTGTCCACATCACAAGATCTGCCATAGAAATGGGCAAAATTGGCAGATGCCCTGAACTCGTACAGCAGTTGGTTTGACAAGTCAAATCTGCATGTTAGCAGAGCTGTGTGAATGCTCTGGACTTCAGCAGCATTAGCAGAGTGTGTGGCAAGTCCGGACTGGTATTGGAAGAGGTGTCCAGGCACATGAAGTCTGAACAGCATCTTTTCACACTATGACTGACTTTAGACAGTACTATGAGACCCTAATTTTTCTGAACACTAGAAATCATCCTAATGTTTAAGTTTTAAAAAGCAAAGTGCCACTTAGATGATTCACTCCCATTTAAAAGGAGAAGGTTTGTTCCTTGCAGACAGGCACACACCTTTCTGTTCCTTTAGCAATTAAATTAGTTTTACAATATCACATTCATTGAAACATATATTTAAATAGACAGATATCAAGTTAATAAAAATCCCACTTTAGAAACCTTTCAAAATCTGCAGGCGCCAGCTACCCCAAGTCATCCTATAACATTAGGATGAGATGTACATATATTGCAACATGTGTTCAGTGGCAGATTCATGGACTCACCCCGGGCTCGAAGCTCACATCCTGCCAATGCCAAATAGTGAAGGATGAAGACAGCAGAAGAGCAGGTTTGACATGATGTGGAACCATTTTGTTCTATTGTTCAGGTTTGCTTGGTTTTTAAGCAGTTTTCTATAAGTTCTTTTTCATGATTTCAAACCCGGCTGACAAATATTTGCAACATTAGATAACAAGTCTGTATGGGACTAAGGCAAGTTTGGGTCTTGAGGAAGGGTCATCCCCCTTCCCCTTCCCTCCCCCCCCATATAAGTAAATCAGCTAACGCTGCATGGTCACAACCTGTATTAAAAAGCATAGGCTCCATTGTTTTAGGGGGAAATAGGAGGTCAGAGAAGGTGATTTGGGAAAGGCTGAACTATATGTGCGTGAGGCAGACAACAAAACCCACGAAACAGTGATAAGGAGAGTGAGAAGTTCAGAAGAAATGGAACATCCCGCCTGGGCTGGTTGTTGTTCTGTGATACAGACCCATCAGAAGCCAGTCAGTTTAAATTAGGCTGTTCCTATATAAATCTTTTTTTCAGTCCCTGGAACATATATGTAGCCATCCAAGATGGCCTGCGGGTGACTGAGGGCATGGGGACAGAGGAGTGTTGCGAGAAAGATGAGAGACCATCAACTGTTGAGATGGCACCAGTCAGAAGATCAATAACTGACTCTGGCAGAGGCTCTGCTCCAGAGAGGTTCCTTCTGTGTCAGCAGGGCAGTTGTTACTGCGGATACTGCTGCAAGCAGTGACTGAACAGGAGACTTGGGAGTGGTAGAGAGAATAAAATGGCAAGAAGTTCATACTGGAGCAGTCTGCCTGAACCTCACTGCCACAGACCCCACCTCCCACGGCACTGCAAATTCCAAATGGCTGCTTTGGATTTGCTTTGCCTTTTCTAAATTAGGCTGCTTGTATTTCTCTGCCACACTGCTAAGGAAATAATCACTGCCTGCTGTTTACTGTACTTCTGGCCCTTCTCTTCCGTAGGTTGCAGATTAGCTGTTTGGATTAACATCCCCTCCTCCTCCCACAAGCCCACACAGAGAGGATTTTTGAAGCCCAGACCCTGTGACACAGCAGACCTGTCAAATCTAATTCATAACACATGCCCAGGAGTACTAGGGGAAAGGAAGGATCTGACGCTCTGGCTCCCCACCATCCCCATGTACAAAGGGGCCATTTAAAGACTGTATATTAGCAACGTGGACAATTAGCATTCACATGGAAGATGGATGGCAGCATAAATTAAATATTGCTAAGTGAAAGAAGGAATATGCAAGAGCTGATCTCCAGGCTGTAAACCAACAAACAGAAAAACGGAATAAACAGCCAGTCCAGGGATTTGCCTCCCAGCCTACTGTGACTCCCCCCGGCACAAATCTCCTGGCACTTTTACGTGGTTTCTGTCCCCACCCTCAGTAGCCACTGATTCTTGAGCAGAGAGAACATTCCACTCAAGGATCTGGATCTCAGAGTGATTTACAAATGCAAAGGGGATGCTTGTGGCATTAAGCTACTCTCTGTGTTGGGGGCTGCACACCAGGCACCACTCCCGGAGGCATCGCACCTGCCTCAAGCACAATACCTGCAGGAGCTCGGGAGATGCACAAGTCTGAGCAGCTCTTGCTGCACTCTTTTTCAGAGAGCAGAGTGAGCTCTCCTCCACAATGGCCCAGGTTTGCTGGCTGGCGTGGAATGAAGAAGGTATATCATTCCATCCTTCCCAGCTCCTTTTGTGGAGTTTGGTACCACTCACAGTGCTAACCTCTCCCAGTCCCTGAACCTCAGAACCGCAAGAACTGGGCCTGCCTCTGGCCCCTGTGCCAAGCTGAATGGTGGGGGACAGTGCCCTTCTCGGTTTGCTTATCTGTGCAGGGCTAAGATCAACACAAATTAATTAAGCCTCAAAAGTCCCATCAGGTAGATAAGTATCGTAGACCCTATTTCAGACACAGAAAACTAATCTAGAGACAAGCATACAAAATAAAGAAACAAAAAACCCTCTCCTACACCTCCCTGTGAGATAATGGCCAGATGGTGATATTCTAAAGCCTGCCAGAACAGTAACTCCATAGAGTAATGGTCAATTCAAGTTTATCAACAACTCAGCAAGTCAAAACTGCTTCTGGACAAGTCAAAACATCTTAGTAAACATGTTAAACACGAAAAGGTGGAGCAGAAAAGTGATAAAAACCTTAGGATTGCCCAACAGGATCAGACCAACCCAACAATGGCCAGTAGTAGATGCTTTGGAGAGAGGGGAACCCCTCCCCATAACCACATGAGACAGTTATGGATTATCCTGCTGAAGGGGGAAATGGCTTCCTGGATCCAAGTTTCTTACTGTATACTTATGTCAGGAAGAAAAGAATTTGCCCTGTATTTTATTCTGATAAGCATTTCATTCTGTTGTCAATAAATAATAAACAACAACAATAATTACTTTGAACTAAAATGGCATTTTCCATCTAAGGACCTGAAAGTATTTTACAAAAAATCAATGAATTTAACCACATGATATCTCTGAGTGGGAGGCAATTATTACTTTGCACACAGGGAAACTGAGGCAGAGGAGGGCTAAGTGATACAATGGCACTAATAAAATATGGATTTCCTGACTCCCAGTCCTGTGCCTTAAAAAGGTTAAAATGGGCTTTCCTGTGCCAGCAAACACACTATCTTCCCCCTACTTTGGTGCTAGGATTCCCAGAGCACAGCCCTTCTGTCCTTTCTTGTGCCCTCAGATCTGTGTAGATAATTTTTTAGTCCTTCGATTTTTCCCGATTAATATTTAAAAAGTGGTGTTTAGGGATGTGGGATCATGGGGCATTTGTTGATAATTTTATACCATAAAACTGAGAAGCGAATAAAGATCTTTTCTCAAAGAAAATAGCAGAGGATGCACTGACATGAATTGTGCATTTTCTTGATCTCCACACTAACCACTAAGAGGCTGTTTGATGACAGGCAGGTGGGGCTCCCTTCCCTCTCCCCTTGTCATCTCCTCCCTACAGGAGCAGTGATGGAAGAGTGATTTGCTGCAGAGTTAATGCTGAGTTTGAACTGGATTCTTGACTAGCTGAGCTCAGCACCAGGGCAGGCTGAAGTTGATTAGCTCCACTAAACATCCAGATTCCACTCATTCACAAAGAAGCAGAACAATTTTAGCAACTGCTGAAATGCACAGACGAAGGTGGAGGTAACATCCCTGAAAAAAAGACTGAAGGAATTACAAAAGCAAACACTACTCACGTTTGTGGTTCTCGTTTCTGTGGACGGGTGGGGAGCGTGTCTCCTGCTCTTGGGCTTCATCCCCCTCTTCGCTGGCAAGGTGAGTGTGAGCATAATGGTAGCTCAGTCCAGGTCTGTTCTTATAACGTTTGCCACAGACTGAGAGGGAAAGAAACATGAGGGAAGGGAGAAGAGAATGGAATATCAGTACCTACAGCAACAGTGAGAATGGCCTTTAATACATCACCCCCACTAACATCACTGTACATCCTTCTTGTTGTTGTTATCTGAAACTTTGCAAATATAATGCTGATGAAAGATGACAGACTGACAGCCCTGCAGGCTAATGTCCTCTATTTATCCCCAGAACACGTACAGTACACTCAAGCTTCCCTACTCTATACCAGCATTGGTCCTTATCCCTGGCCTGGATGGAGCATCTCTAAGGTTGAGAAGATTGGTCAATCTTCATGGCCCACTCAGTCCTTGACCGGTCCGCTGAGACTGCCAACAAGGTTGTCTGTCAAACTAAATTAAATGACATTTGTGGTGTTGGTGTTTTGTGATATAATGAGCTCTTTACCAATGGGAATTGGAGTGAGACCAAGCAGCATTGTTTCATGATTACTGACCTCAGGGAGAAGGAACCAATATTACTAACAGCAAGAAAAGAAAAAAAATATCTTTAAAAGATCTTCTTTCCCGATTTAAATCCAGACACAAAAGTTAGGAATCACCTACTGCTTCTGGTTCAAAGACCATTCAGCAGTGATGCTTCTATCCTCTATCCAGTTAAGCCTCACACTGAGCAGTCCAGTAATAATATCTGTTGTGTGATGGAGAATCCTCCATTAAATTCTGCATGCGCTTATTTGGTCATCAAGTCAACAGGCCTTAATAACAGACTCAAACCATTGAGACTCATGAAACTACTTATGCTCCCATGACACTCTACAATGGGTCGAGCTTTATCACAAGACTCATGATAGCTATAGGTTAAAGTTTTTAATAGGAATTTATTTTTATTCAGGTTATTGCCTGTAAAAACGACAACCCAACCCTTAGCACTTTTTATCTTCAAAGCACTTTATCAAATGTCAACTAATTCTCTTTCAAAGCCATTTTGTGAGCTAAGGCCTGGTCTACACTAGGACTTTAATTCGGATTTAGCTGCCTTAATCCAAATTAACCCTTCACCCGTCCACACTACAGAGCCAGTTAATTCGAATTAAAGGGCCCTTTAAATCAATTTCTGTACTCCACCTCGACGAACGGAGTAGAGCCTAAATCGATTTTGTTAATTCGAATTAGGGTTAGTGTGGACGCACACCACCGAATTACTGTGTTTAAGTTAATGGGGTAGTGTGGCCGCACACCACCGAATTAATGTGGTTTAAAACCGAATTAAGGTGCTTAGTGTGGCCGCGCACAATCGAATTTATACAACCTGTTTCCCAAATTCGAATTATCTAAATTCGGATTAATCCTGTAGTGTAGACATACCCTAAGTCTCATTAGTACAGTTTTACAGATAGGATAACTGAGGCACCAGAAGATAAGGGACAGATCCTGCAAACTCTTACTACCAGACCCAGTACTCACTACTGATTAGTCCACCCATCCCAGGGATTACCCATGGTAGTTAACACTTTGCACAGTACCGTTTGCACGACTGAGCCCTACGTAACACGCCTAAGGCCAGAGAGGCAGTTGGTGTTAGCACTGGGAACAGAACCCAGCAGCTCGCGGCTCTCCATCCAGTTCTTAGGATCAATGCTCTCTCTAAGGTGTTCTGATGGTCCGATTCTGAAAATGCCTCTTAACCATGTGATTTGTGTGACTGTAATACACAGTGCAATTTCTAGACAACTTTATTTCACTGTGGCAGGTAGTGCAAAGCAAGGCCAAGCATGGTACTGCAGGCACGCCCTGCACAGTCCACCAGTTGTGGCCACAGGCTTGGCATCATTCCATACACAGCACATTAAAAGTAATGAACTCAAACTTTGGCAGTCTGCACCTTTAAATAAACAAACAAAACTCCAAGGCAAATGCCTATCTGCGGTGCTTGAGGGCAAAGCCCTGGTCTGGCCCTAGGCTATCACGGGGAGCTCGCAGCTCCTCTATTCCAGTCTCACTCTGCACTGCCCAGAGAAGAAACAGGCCTGTTGGCTATTGATGGGTCAGTGTATCCTCCTGGCCCTTCTAGGCTCCCTGAGGGCTATCTTGTTGGTAACCCGATCTGGATTTTCATTGAGCAGGGAGCATCAGGGGTCCGATGCCTCCTGACAGACCCCACACATTCACCTTCCGCACATGCAGGAGTCCAACAATGTTCTAATGCTCAGCAAAAAAGCTCAAAAAGCACTTGTTCGTTTACACTGAGATAATCTGGTTTCACTATTAAAAACTTTTCTGCTACTTCTCACAAATAACAGATGGATGATCCACATTAAGGAGGAGATTATGTGAAATTGTAGACTATAAATTGGTGAAGTAACATTTTAATCTCAACTTGTTCTAACTAATTTGTAAACTCCCTCGGGGAACATACCTGGTCTTAGGTGTTTGTAAAGCATGCTTATCTATGGCATGATATCAATAAGAATAAACTATTCATAATGATAACCATTCTTGTCCTATTTTTCTCCATCCACTATGGTTAAATAACACATGTATAACATTTCTGTTGCTTTTGTGTAAATAAAATAAATATATTTAAAAAAATTAAAAAGTTAAAGAAATGCCTCGATGTGGGCAGGAAACACACAACCTAGGCAGCAGTAGTGCAAGCTTCCTCCATGCTAGCCAGAAAACATGCTTCAGGAGGGACCAGATCCCAAAGTGAGAGAGGAATTCAGTCTGAAAGACACTCCAGCCCTTGCCCTCTTTGCTGAGAGTTCCAACAAGGGGGTCAAATGTGAGGGCCTATTATCCAAGAGACCAGAATTTTTGGTTTTTAATAGGAGGCCATAAAATGCTGATTAATTTTACATTAAAGAGAGGCCATTAACTTGGGTCAGAGTCCATTAACATAGGTGCAAGTCTTGTTAATTTCAGTGGTAATTGTGCCCATGGAACTGAAAGGATTATCAGGCACCAAATGAATCTAAGGCACAAAAGTATGAAAGAAGGATAAAATGTTAACACTGAAATTCCCAGGAGGCTGGCTGGGTCAGGGGACTGATAAAGTGATATGGTCTCTCTCACCTCTAGGTCAGCAGATCCAATCCAGCCCCAGTTGGTAGCTACCGAAAGACACCACTATATTACAGCTGCTTGGTGCACACATGAAAGAGTACTGCGTATATTCCTTGCTGGTATTATTAAATATTACGTTAAGGCAGAGACTCACTTACCACTGTAAACTCAAATTTAACCCCTTGGTCCTCAAATGAAAAAAAAAGATCCTTTCCTCTTCAAATTTTGCAGGTGTCTTCTGTATTGGTTAAATTTGTGGGGAATTATACAAGCTGTTTCTAAGACATGGGAATCAGAAAAACAGGTGGTGTGTTTTGAAGTCTTTTTTCTTTTTTGTCCATCTCAAAAATGGTTTGTTCTAGAAACTTCAAATTAAGTGTGATAAAAAGATCTTAGCAAGACCTAGTGCGCAGGATCAATTCTTGGAGGGGTGGAAGGCATGTTTGAGAATTTATTCACTATCCAACTGGAATATCAGAACAGCCCATCAACCCTGGTGGGCTTTTGATGGAGTGCCATGTGACTGATGGGAGACCAAAGCTTTTATTTTAAAAAAGTAAGCCCCTATCCCTTTTCCTTGGGGCAATAGACTCCAATATGTAACCTGATCACTAGGAAAATTTGTTATAATTATTTTTTAAAAATAAGAAAAAATCAAAGCTATCCCCAAGCATTTTTGTATCACGGTTTTAATACATCACTTGCAGCCTATATTTTTATAAACACCTAATCACCGCAACAGAAGGTGAGATGGGAAGATGGGGGAAATCTAAGTACAAGCAACCAAACTCTAGGAAGGTCTGAGTAAAGTCCACTTTTGTTTTAAGTCTCTGTACCTCTTCTTTCATTGCCCAGATCCCATGGCCACTGGTGCACTATAAGAGTCAGACAGAAATACAAGGGAGTCTCCTCCAAATTTAAGTTTTTCACAGCACTAGACCACAGGCCTCCTATAGCCCTTATGAAAAAAGATGAAGGGAAGGTGGAAAGATGGCAATTATACACTCACTGTATCAGTACAGACGTTTTCCCAAATTAAAATGCCTACAGCCATAGGCTTCTTAAAACCCTTTAAAAAACACCTTTAATACAAAAATAACAGTGAAGAAGCAGATATATAGAGGTAGAGTTAAGGTTGTTTGGATGCCTTAAATGTATATATCCAAACTTTAAACTCACTAGGCTGCTTAAGTGTAACCTTAACTTTGAATTTCCTATGGGGAGTGAGGTGGGGGAGTTAATAAACAAGACTGTTCTTAGGTATATGTCCTTTAAGAAATGTCTTTTAGGTCCTTTAAGAAAGGCAATTTTGATCTCCCACCTTTCAGTATGTGCCAGATACTCTTTGATTGCATTTCAGAAGAGGAAAGAACTCCCACCCAGATCTTCCTTCATCCCATATCAGTGGTTCTCAAACTTTTGTACTCGTGATCTCTTTCACACAGCAAGCCTCTGAGTGAGATCCCCCCCCCTTATAAATTAAAAACACTTTTTTCTATATTTAACACCATTATAAATGCTGGAGGCAAAGCAGGCTTTGGGGTGGAGGCTGACAGCTCGCAACCCCCCATGTAATAACCTCGCAACCCCCTGAGGGGTCCCGACCCCCAGTTTGAGAACCCCTGCCATAGAACATGGGACACACTGGTGATACAAAAATTATTAGGCAGGCAAATAGCAAGAATTCACAACCCTTAACATTTTACACAAACAAGACAAATAGAAAACACTTATTGTTATATGGCTTATAGTAAAAAGAAGTATGATTTTAAAAGATAAATTCTTCTAGTTTATACGACTCTTATTACATACCTTGGAAAAGACAGATGGAGAGATGTTCATAGTAGATTACTTGATTGTTAAATTGATATATCCTGCACTATCCCATTTATGCTCATGTGAATGAAAAGGAAGCTTTAAAAAAACGACACTATTCTTGTGAGCTACAGATACTATTC